CTCTCTCTCTGCCCCTCCCCAGCTCATGCTCTGTCTCTGTCTCTTTCTCTCTCTCTCTCTTTCTCTCTCAAAAAATAAGTAATAAACATTTAAAAAAAAAAAGGGGCTCCTGGGTGTCTCAGTTAGTTGAGTGTTCCCCTCGGCTCAGGTCGTGATCTCACAACATGTGAGTTAGAGCCCTGCGTCGGGCTCTGGGCTGACAGCTCAGAGCCTGGAGCCTGCTTAGGATTCTATGTCTCCCTCTCTGCCCCTCCCCTGCTTGTGCTATCTCTCTCAAAAATAAACATCAAAAAAATTAAAAATAAACATTAAAAAAATTAAAAGTAAAATGTTGAACATATAGAAAAGTATAAAGCATAACACTCTTGCACCTGTCTTTCATATTAACAAAGTTTTTACCATATTTGCTTTATATTTTCTTTTAAGGAAATAAAATGTTACAGATAGAATCGACTCCACATTGGAGTCTCTGCTAATTTAGGGCAGTGATTGTAATCTTTTCCCTTTAAAACCACTTTAACAGAGTCCTGTGGGTCACTTATTCTACATTTTCTTGTATTACCACTGCAAAAACCTCATCAGAATTAATGAGGAGAGGATTGCTTTTGATGAGATGCTAGTGGACTGATTTTGATGAAATAGCATAATTATTCCCCTTGAAAACATTAGTAACTCTAAGAAATCAATCTGCTGTCCACCTGGAAGACTTTCAAGGGCCATCAGTAGTTTGTAGACCGTGTGAATCATTCATTTAACCAAATTCCTCTTGGCTTTGGAAAGGAAATTCATTCATTGATTTTACTTTTAAAAATTGATGTTTTCACTGTATTTGTTGCATTTTACTGGGCACTGTAGAAGATTAAAAGTTTAGCAGAGAGTTTCTGTATTCCAGGGATTTAAAATCCAGTTGGGGGATTAAGGAAAGTACATAAAGTTAAATAATACCTTAAGAGTTAAATTATCAAAGATAGTATATGACAGTGTGGGGATAATAATTGCTGTGACTTTTCCAGGAAGGAAGAGAGCACTGTAAACCAGAGTGATTAGAAAAAGCATCATAAATAAAGTATGTGGGCGTCAAGCTAGTCTTTGAGGGTTGAGTAGGATGTGAGATTTGATAAAAGGAAATATTATTTCATATGACAGGAACATTTCAAGCAAAGTTGTTAGCTGTGTAAATTTTGTTCCCAGAGAACTTCAATAGATCAGTCTGACTTAACTACAGTTGTGTCAGGCAGTGGGGGAAGGTAGGGCTGAAAAAGTTGGATGAGGAAAGATTGTAGAGGTCTTAAGGTGATGCTAAAGAATTTGAACTTTATCCTCTATCCAATGGGGAAATCAGTGATAATTTTTGGGAAGAACATGTTGAAAGCAGAATTGTTGGAAGTTGTGTTTAGTATGCCAAACAATATGAATAAGGAGAGAGGCTAGTGTTGGGAAGAATAGTTAGGAGACTAATATGATAATCCAGGTATAAAGTGATGAAGTCCTAGACTAGAAATTCTCAAATATGATTTGTGGGCCCCTTGAGTCTCCCTGATTCAGGAGTTCTGAGAAGTCAAAATTATTTTCATAGCAATGTCAAGATATTATCTGCTATTTTCATTGTGTTGGCATTTGCACTGATGGTGCTATAAAGTAATGGTGAATATAACTGGTGCCTGAGGGGCAACTGGGTGGCTCAGTTGGTTAAGCGTCTGAGTTCAGCTCAGGTCATGATCTCATGGTTTGTGAGTTCGAGCCCCGCGTTGGGCTCTGTGCTTACAGCTTGGAGCCTGGAACCTGCTTCGATTCTGTGTCTCCCTCTCTTTCTGCCCCTCCCCAGTTTGTGCTCTCTCTTTCTCTCTCACTCTCTCACTGGTGCCTTAGCCAGAATCAGGGCAGTGGGGCCAAACTGTATTAATGGTCATTTTGTTCTTCACTGTAGTAAAAAACAAAAATGCTAGTTTCTCTTAATGTCTCAAATGAAGCAGTAAAAAATAATGCATTAATTTTACTAAATTTCAACCTTTGAGACATGTTTTTAATATTCTGTGTGATGAAATAGGAAGTACAAATAAATCCCGTCTGTGTACTAAAGTATAATTGTTGTCCTGAGGAATAGCACTTATGTGATTGAGTTGTGAGCTAAACTAGCTGCTTTCTTCATGGAATACCATTTTTACTTGAATGACTGACGTTTAAACTATGGTTATTCAGATGTGGGTATTTGGCAGATGTTTTCTCAAAAATGAAAAGCCAGCCTGTCATTTCAAAGGAAACAACTTGAAGTATTTGTTCCCACTGATTTGAGCTTTCAAGTGAAAATTATGAGTTGGGAAAATTTGTATCTACCACTGTGAACTTGACAGCTTCCCAATACTTAAACTTTTCTGATGAGATTGGTAACAATAATAATAAACGTGAATTGTAATGAAATGTGTCAATATTTGGAAGCTTGGTATAACTCAATAAACCAGTCTTTTCCAGATGACTAAGTATGATGTTATAAAATTATACATGGGTAAAAGATCCATTCAAAATGCAAGATATATCAATGAATTTTATTTATTTACATAATACTTTTTCAAAAGACTTTATTTCTTTAATGTTTTTTCAATAGACTTTAATTTTATACACCAATGAATTTTAATAGAACAGTACAAAGAGTTCATTGATAAGGTTTCAGATTCCACATTGCAGCTAACCCTTAAGAGACTACCACTTATCAAGACTAATATACACCATTTTATGAAAAGGCTATTAAAATATTCCTTTCTTTTTCAACTACATGTCTGTGAGGCTGGATTTTCTTCATTTACTTCAGTGAAAACAAACCAGGTTTAGTGCTGAAGCAGAGAATCCAGCTGTATTCTATTAAGTCTGAAACATTAATGTCACTCTAGTCATTTTTTTTTTTGGAGAATTAGTAGTTTTTCATAAAATAAGTCATTTATGTTAGCATGTAATGGGTTTATTATTTTTTAATGGATTAATAACCATTTTTAAATTTGTCAGTTTTAATTTCTAATATGGTGGGTATCTATAGATATAAACCAGATAAACAAAAGCTCTTTGGGATCCTCTAAGTTTTAAGAACGTAAAGAGTCTTGAGACCAAAAGGTTTGAGAACCACTGTCCTAAACTAAGGAGGTGGCAGTGGGGATGAAAAAGTGAAAGGACAGGTTTTGGTGGAAATTATAAAGGAAGAATTGACAGGATCTGGTACCTAAACTGGATTAAGGAAAGGATCAGGAGATCAAGATCTGAGCCATTTCTCAGCATGGCTCAGAATGATGGTACCTTTGAACATGAAAGGGAAGGAGGTAGTTTTGGAAGGCATATAATATATTTGGATTTAGATGTACAAAGTTTGAGAGCACAAGGCATCCTGTAGAAATTCACTTAATGAACATTTATTAACTGCATACTATGCCAGACATTGAATTTAGAATTGAAAATACAAATAACAGTAAGACATAATAATATATGTGAGGCTTATATGCTAGGCATTCGGTGCTTTATATACAGTTATTTTATCAACTCTAAGATGCCATCAATTGTAAGAGACATCATTATCTTATGAACCACTACTAAAAAGTGCTGTCATTAAAACTGTCATATGGCATCAATTATAAGATTAGTCCTATTTTCAGAGATTTAAAATGTAAAAAAAAATATTGGATTATGTAAAGTATTTTTTCTAGTCCTGGGGTTCTGAAATATTCCTTTAAAATTCAATATTATTTTTTTACATCAATATTCCTTTAAAAAAATATTGAGGGGCATCTGGCTGGCTCAGTCAGTGAAACATGTGACTTGATCTTGGGTCATGAGTTCAAGCCCCATGTTAGACACAGAGCTTACTTTTAAAATATGTTTATTGAGCACCTACTATTTTCTGTACTTGTGCTGTCCAATATGGTAGCCATTAATCTCATGTGACTAGTGGACACTAGAAAGTTAGCTGGGCCAAACTAAAATGTGTGTAAGTATAAAATATACACCAGATAAAATGTGGTTTTAACCCATTTAAGCCTCTTGACAACCTTAAAAGATATAGGCTTTTATCCTTATTTTATTATTTTCTTTAAAAATTTTTAATGCTTTAATTTTTTAAATTTAATTTATTTTTTTAATTTACATCCAAGTTAGCATATAGTGCGACAATGATTTCAGGAGTTGGTTCCTTAATGCTCCTTACCCATTTAGCCCATCCCCCTTCCCACA